ATATATATATATATACATATATACATATATACATATATATATATATATATATATATATATATATATATTGTAGTACAGATAAAATCTGTCATCTAAGGCATTTCATGCTAAGAAATAACCTTGGTTCTGAAACAAGAATGAAGTTTGGAAAGTGGCTATGTTTGGAATTTTAAGAGTATGTGACGGGTCCTCTCCCCAAATGGCCAACATAATTGGTAGAGCGAATCAGAAAACATCCACTTATCAGATGGGCATACTTGCAAATATTTGGTCTGCAGCTACTTAATTTTATGTTCTAAGAATGTCTCTGGGGAACATGGAAGGCCCAGAATCATTTTTTTGGAAATAAAGATTATGCTTGAAATTGGTCCTCTGTACAGGTAAATAATCTAATGAAATAGGTGGGGCACAGAGCCAGGTAGGTATCAAAGGATGTTTCTGCAAGCATATTAGTACCCTCAGCATTACATTGGGGATCACAGCATTACCCTGTGGCACTTAGAGGCACACAGGTGGGCATGATTCAAGTCAGGCATATCTGGTGAAGGCCATAAAGCTATTAGACAGACAGACAGACAGACAGACAGACAGGTATATGTTTTGCTTTAGAGCCTACAGTTTAATATTGTACCACTAGGTGGGAGTATAACACTTGTTACAGTAAAATGTTTGCTATGAATGAGGAAAAAATTTAAAACCCTCCATTAAGCTATAAAGAAAGTTCCTAACATACCAGTCGAGGAATTTAAATTACTGCTATGTGAAGATATCAAGATAAAAGCCTTGAATAAATGACTCTGACATGCCTGATGCAAACTACTGGATCAAATATATATACACACACACACATACACACACACATGTTGAAAGGCAGAAATTTGAATCTTTTATGCTGGTCAAATCAGAAACAGAAAGCTCTACTACATCTTTAGGAACTGATTTTTTTTTCCCTCTGACAATGTTCTCTGATATACTGTACCACAACCAAGCTGCTGATCAATAAGGAGGCTTACTCTCTATGAAGTAAGTTTAGGATTACCTCTGTCAAAGGAGAGAACAGGTCAACTCTTTGCCCTTGTAAAGAGTTTTTTTTTTCCTGATTATCTGAAATAATTCTTATTAATAATAGGTGAGTCCTTCTCATAGATTTTTGTACTAAGGATAGAAAGGTTGAAAAATGGATTGTTTGCGTGAGAATGGCCTTGTAACTAAAATGTTAGTTCTGTACTTTTCCCTTCCTGTCCTGTGACTAATGATGGAAAAGAGGCAAGACCTTAAATCTGCATGATGGTGTTCATCAAACTTCTTTTAGGATAAGGTGTCTCACCATATATGGCCTGAAACTGTGCATCGGTGCTTTTGGATTTTGTAATCTTTCTTGTTGCTCACATAAAGAAAGAAGGATGTGAATAAAGCCCTTTATATCCTTGAACATTTTCAGAAATTTGGGTAGGAAATACATATGTTTATGTTGTGGTGCAGAAGAGACCGCAAGTTGCTTTTAATAATAGGAACATCAGAATATCCCTGCTGGGTTAGATCTGTTACTGTGATCAAGCAGAAGTCTGTGGGGGTGGCCTTGAGCAGAAAGTAGAGCAGCCCCATATCCCGTTGCTGTGGGCCTGTTGGTATAGAAAGGGATGCTATTCCCAAACTAGTGGTAACAATTTAGTCTCAAGATCAATAGCCTTGAATAGTTTTGTTTTGTCTTCAGCTTGGTAGGTAGTGGCCTAAATTAAAATTATTCTCAAAGCAGCACATTTTAAACTTTGCTGAAATGTAACCATCGCTTCCCTAATTGTTTGGATGTAAATTGTACTGTATTTTTTCTCTTTTGTATTTAAATATAATTTAAAGAGAAAACCTATAGTTAAAAAATTGTAGACCGAGACAAAAATCAATTAAGTACATTATAAAAACTAAGGATAGAGAAACTGAAATAATACAATAATACAATAAAATTAGGAGCTTTAAATTAGTGAAGAACAAAATATCAAATGCTGTTTAATTCTTGTCTATACAGAACTTTGCTACCCATTGAAAACAGAACAAGTAAGAAACTCATGTTACATCCCATAACAGCAAGTTCTGAAATTTGGGTGCTACTAAACAGTCCTTGTCATAGACTCATTAGATGGTAAAGCAAATAATAAGACTTCTAGTAATTGTAGGTAACTGAGAAACGTCCTCAGTGCTTCTGGACATTCGTTCACGGATTTTGCTAAATACAATTTTTCAAAAGGGAAGAAGAAGGGTGCTACAGTGGGGCAAAAAAGTATTTAGTCAACCACCAATTGTGCAAGTTCTCCCACT